TATAAATTTATTGTTAATGTAAATCAAATGCTAAAGCAATTATAAGATTTAAATTTTATTTTGTAATTAATAATTAAGACCTAAGAATTAAGGCTCCAGCCCGCAAAACGCTGCCGTTTTTCTAGTTTACCAGAATCTCCGGAGATTTTGTGCTCTGATACAAGCCGAATTTTTAATAGATTCCGAAATATTCCGAAAACTCATAAGCCATTCCGGTAAATTCCCATGCGCATGAAATTTGAAAATATCGGGATTTGCACATCACTAATTACTCGGTGTAACACACTATTAAATTAGCTGCAGATCATCACGGGACCTTCAATTTTCGATTTTTATTGGCTGTTTCGGACTAACATTATGAACGTGCATTCACATACTGCTTGAATAAACGATTCCTCGCTATGCTTCGAACAATAAACCCATAAAATTTCTAGAGATTGATATTTCCATGCCTGTGTAGGAGTATGATTTCTGCACTTGTTCTTTTAATTAATAAATTTCAATATCCAAGTATTAACGTAAAAAAAGATCATCTCTCATATTTCAAAATATTATAAACTCACATTTGTGCACTGTTCATGAATGTTAATAGATCGTAAAGTATTAACAACGCGTAGGATCGATTTTACTGTCATATGAGTTTCCGACATCTATCAGCCAATCAAAGATCAGTAACCGGTATAACGGAAAGGAATTCCAAACAAACGTTCGCTTGCAAAAATCGCATTTATCCCGTCCTAACAAAATTTTTCTTGTTCAATTTTGCTATATTATTATTTTCCTAACCTTAACCTAAATTCTAACCCAAATGATAACAACATTTGTTTTCTGAGTATTATGCCGAACCTACGCCCTGTCAAAATTATATATTTTAGAGCGAAAAATTACGTGCAGGTAAATTCCTTGAAAATAATATTCATCACATGACTTCATGGAGTGTATTAGAATGTGGAAATATCTATACTAAAAAGTTTTCGATCATTTTAAAGAAAGATCAATTTGTAATCTATATATAAAAAAATTTATTGCGTATAAATTTAGATAGAAAGTTTATTTACTTTGGAGAAATAAGCTCTTTGACATGAGATATTTTATCAATATTAAAAAACAATTAAAATTCTAATCTATTTTCAATAAAAATGGACAAAAATAAATAAGAATATATAGTAACTAGTGGTAAATTATTAATTAAACAATTATTTACTATTTTATAAGAGTAAAAAGAAAATTTAATTTCTTGCTTTTTGAATTTTTATTTTCTGGGACATTTTTTAGAATGCTTGTTTCTTCCCTTAAAATCATTCAGTTTAAAGTTTGGAGATATTTGTTTGTGATGGAGTTTCAATGTGAAATTTCTGATTTTACTATATTTTTTTTTTTTTGGTTTAAAGGGTTTCATATGATGTCCAGGGCCTGTACTATTATTGTCTTGTTTAAAGTGTAATCCTTTAAGTTCACAATGCCTAGGTAATTTCTTACAGATAACGGAGTGTTGACCGTCAAACGGTGTATTTTTTTCAGATTGAACTATGGACCTCGCAAGTTTAATAAGATCCTTTTTCTTTTTACCACCTTTAATCAAATAATTATTGATAATTAATACACGCATTTAAGGAAAAGAAAAGACTGCCTATCCTAACAAATAAAATTCCAATTACCTAGAAAATATGCAACATCGATAATTTGGTCACATTTTTCTTGCAAAGAGCAAGGAGGAGCATCAGCCAATAAAGAATCGATACACACTCCTTGAAGATCACCAAGGTGCCCGTTAATGTCGCCGTCACCGGTATCATACTTCTCCAATTTCTTTAGATCTGGGTTCTTTTCTTCCATATGAGACCTTGCATTAACAAAAGCAAATAATAAAGCTAAAACAATTATGACGATAGAATACTTCATTGTTTTAAGTTGAAATTTGAAATAAGGGAAGTTTGTCTTTTTTTTTAGAAAAAGTAAAAGAAGTTAATTTTTTCGATACCATTACTTGCTCTTTATATAGAGAACGTCGTCTAATATTTTAAAAATAATGATTATTTAATGTGACACATTCATAGTAAAAAGATTTCTATTAAGATCGATCAAATTGAAATTTTCACGAACATTAGGTTTCAAAACTTTAGGATAATTGTTTTTTGCTCTTTATGATAATGCGAATATTTTTTTACCACATGTGATTAACATCAAATTAATTTTGTGAATCCTTACATATTTATAATGATATACGTATTAAATATGAAATACTATATTGGGTAAGGATTTTTTTCTGCACAGAAGTTAAATTTTGATAAATCTGACGAAACAAAACAAGGGAAAAAATACGAAAAATGCGAAAAAAAAACAGTCTAAATTTGCCTTGGAGTATTGACAAAAAAATGTCGAGGAGATAATTTTACATATATTAATGATCCTACCTCTAACCCGAGGCGAACCTAACCTGAATGAAAAACGTTATGTCACGGTGCATTTTTTTGACCTTTTGAGACCAATAAGATTGAATTTCTATGTTATGCTTATTATGAATTAAATTTATATCATAAAAAATTTGTCTTATGCAGAAATTTCGACTCGATCGTCTAATTACTTAGCAGTATGAAAATCTCCGCGGGGAAGGTTTGTGCGAGTGATACAAACCCAAAAAGGTAAAAATAAAAGTTCGTGAAAATAAAAATTTAGGGTTAGAACGCTGAAGTTAGATGCTATGGAAATAAAGTTTGCTTCTATATGTAAAATTTCATCTCCGTCACTTTTAATTAGCGCTCCAAGACAGGTTTAAATATTCGGTTTCTTGTATTTTCGCTTTTTTCGTTTTTTTCGTGTTTTTCTTCTCTTTGCTCACGTGTCGGGCCGATCCGGGATAATCATATTTTACGTTCTCCGATTGGCTAATTTCCCTTTTGATCACTCGCACGCCCAAGGGAGACCGTCCCAATTTAGGAAATATTTACCCGAGTCACTCGATCATCACACAATTGATAAACAAATTTTTTTATATAATTTACAATAAATTTTTGTCATATGAAAAATATTTCATAAATTTTTATAAAATAAAGAAAATCGAAAATTAAAAGAAGTTTAATTAAAATTTAATGTTAAAGTTCAAGATAAGTGCCACCTAATGTTGTTGTTGGGTAGGCATGCATGTATTTATTAATTTAAATCAAGATTATTAATTTTTAATAATATATATTTGCAAGACCCCATTAATTTATGTATTTTAATTCTACGTTTAATTTCATATCTAATTTTACGTTTAATTCACGTCTAATTAAATATCCTAAACTATGCTATTTGATATTACGCAAATATTATTCTAATACATCGTGCATGTATATAAATTTCTTATCATACCTTAAAAGCTTCTCTAATAAATTGTGTAGTTAATTATTATTATTTGTATACTTTCAATTATTTAAATGGTTTTTATTAATGATGGGTGACGAAATTATTTTTGCGATGACGAAATGGTTTCGTCAATGGTTTCATCTAACGAAATTTTGACGATTGACGAAATTGCTAACGATTGACGGTTGACGAAATTATTGACGAAATTAATTCGACCAATAAAATTTAAGAATACAGTTGCCTCACTTTCAAGGAATTTCTTTATAACGATCTCTGGATATTATGAAATTTAATTTTTTTTTATAGTTATTTTTCATAAATTTCTTCGGTAACATATAAACAACAATTTTTTGACAATCTTTTCATGGCCAGTATGTTATAAATAAGTTAACACCATAAAAGTTAATGAACTCATATAAAAATTAATTTTACTTCACATTAGAATTGAATCTGAAGCTAAAAAAAAATTTTTACCGATAGTTCTCTCCCACGTACCTATCGAACACATCCGGACGATTGATGCAGATCACGGAATGTCGAGCATGCCAAAAAGTTTATCGTTAAACGTTGTCGTTTTGCAGGCTAACTTTTCGTATTTTTTTATTTTCTTTACATTTATTACGTCAAATGCATATAAAATTTATCATTCGTCATGGGTTTTGTTATTCGTCATGAATTTCGTCATTCGTCATGAATTTCGTCATTCACCATTTCGTCAACTCGAAGTTGTCTGATGAAATGGTTTCGTCATTCGGCAATGATAAATATTTCGTCATTCGTCATCCATCATAAGTTTCTATGCAACACGCATAATAAAAAAATATATATACAAACGAATTTTTTCCTTCTGTACTATCATCATTAATGGTTATTTTAAATTTTTTACGTTTTTTTTGCTCAACAAATGAAATTTTGCCATCGTAGTGATTGTTAATTACTTATAACTTCGTCAGGTGAAGTGTAATATGAAAGTCGTGGGATTAAGAGGGATTAATCGAATATGTTGTTGAGAAAAACGAAAACTTAATTTTGCTTATCCGACTGGAATGCTCTATAGAATAGCAAACTCCGCAAACTCCACAAACTCCTCAACTCCGCTATTAAAAAATTAATGATTACTAATCATTAGCGAAGCTTATTTCTTATAATGCCCACCTATTCTATAGAATATCCGTCCAAATTAAAATTTAGGTTTATACGACAGAAATGTAACTAAATCTAACTAAAATCCTATCTTCACACCCTAACTCGTAGGCTTCGATCAATCAAAAGTCACACAATCGTAGTTATCGTCTCAAGTTGGATCAGGCCTCACATTCGTCCCTCACAATTATAATAAAAACTATAAAACGACATTTAAAAATAAATTTTAACAATGATAAAAATTTTTAATAATAACTAAAAAATTGGTCTAGTTACCAACTCTATATTAACATAGCATATCTTAAACATTTGAAATTAGAGTTGCATACATGTCGCATGATTAGTGATGGACAAATTAGCCTTTTTTCAAATTTTATGCGCATGGAATTCTGGCCTGCATTATGGTAGCTTGATGCCAATGCGGGTCAGAATTATGATATTCCGAAATATTCCGAAAATTCCGAAATATTCCTGTGAGCATGAGCACTTAGTGTTACAAATCGAAAGTTGAAAAAATCGATTAGTTTGTTAGTTGACAACTAATCGATTGAACTTTTTATACACCAACTAATCGATTAATCAATTAATCGACTAATCGATTAGTTGCAAAGGATCGATTGGAAAATTATTTATTTACTTAATGAATTAGTTGATTAATCGATTAATCGATCAGTTGCAACTCATTGATTAATTGATTAGTGTAACGAATTAAATTTTATTTTTTTATATTATTGTAAACAATACCTTTATTTTCTTGGTAAAACACTCGCATGTACATAGTTTATTAGTAATTCCCCATCCATTCTGGTAACAATGCTCAATTTTAGTATATCTATTAATTTCTTTTGAATATTTCATAACTTATACTTAAATGGTAATGATGAGTGGTTTAGTTGCATGGAAATCAGATGAATCACGTAAACACCGAAAAAACCACGTATACGTGATTTCACAAAGACTGC